ATTTATTTCAGAGAAGAAGGGAGAGAGAGAGATAGAAACATCAACGATGAGAGAGAATCATTGATCGGCTGCCTCCTTCAGGCCCAACACTGGGCATCAAGCCCGCACCCGCAACCCAGGCAGGTGCCCTGACTGGGAATCAAATCGTGACCTCCTGGTTCATAGGTAAATGCTCAACCACTGAGCCATGCCAGCCAGGCAAAAGTACCATTATGGAAGCATAGCATATGGTAATGTGGGAGACCGACTAGGTACAGCATGACTCTTTACAGGGGCCAAGGAAGACGTGTCAGACAAACTTAGTGCTGCGTTAAGCCTTAAAGAGGAGTTTGAAATTTGGGGGTTTTGGTTGTTTGCCTGTTTTTGCCATTTTCTGTAAGAGCAGATTTCCTGGGATACTTAACAAAGCCTCTGTCATGATCAATTTAGGACCAGCTTTCCCCCTGTCTTCCCTTTGCTTCCCGTGGGGTCTCAGTGTAGGCCCAGGGATACAGGGCTTCCCCTTCCCTCCCAGCCCCGCTGCCTTAACACCCCTTCTCTCCCTGTAGTGCTCGGTGAAGACCTGCACCACCGCCTTCCATGTCACCTGCGCCTTCGAGCACAACCTGGAGATGAAGACCATCCTCGACGAGGATGATGAAGTGAGATTTAAGTCTTTCTGCCTCAAACACAGCCAAAGCCGGCAGAAACTCGGCGAGACCGAGTACCCCCTGTACTGGGCCGAAGAGCAGAGCTTGGCCAAAGGCGATAAGACCAGCCCGCGGGCGCAGAAACTGCAGGAGCTGGAGGAGGAATTCTATAGCCTGGTCAACGTGAAAGATGTGTCCACAGAGATGGGGCTGCCCCTGCTAACTGTGGACTTAATCTACAACTACTGGAAACTGAAACGGAAGAGTAACTTCAATAAGCCATTATTCCCTCCGAGGGAGGATGAAGAAAAGGGCTTAGTGCAGCCAAAAGCGGAAAGTATTCACACTCGCATGAGCATGTTTATGCATCTACGGCAGGACCTGGAGCGGGTAAGGTGACCAGCTGTGACCAGTGTGTAGGCCTCAGTCTGCATAGAAATGGGGGTCCCACTTGCAGGGTTTGTTAAGGTCACCTCATTTATGGTGTGGGCTTCTGTGTCCTGATATTCTGATTTTGCTGTGGTCCCCGACAGTGGACTCTGTTTAAATTTTGTCAGGCACATTCAGGGACTTAGACAGCCCTCAACTTATATTTATATCCTCTGTGAAATCTGAAATACATTCTCATTTGGTTCACATCTATTCACCATTGAGCCTAAATTGGCTCAGTTCTGTTTTACTGACACACTGAAGAAGACTGCAGGCTGCCTAAGAAAGAAGGAATTTTGATCAGGAAAGCACTAGATCAGAGTTTCTCAAACTCAGCACTGTTGACATTTGTACTGGATAATTCTTTGTTGCAGGGGACTGTCCTGTGTTGTAGGAGACACTGTAAGATGCTCAGCAGAATCCCTGCTCTCCACCCACTAGAGCAGCCGTGGGCAAACTACAGCCCGCGGGCCGGACCCGGCCCGTTTGAAATGAATAAAACTAAAAAAAAAAAGACCGTACCCTTTTATGTAATGATGTTTACTTTGAATTTATATTAGTTCACACAAACACTCCATCCATGCTTTTGTTCCGGCCCTCCGGTCCAGTTTAAGAACCCATTGTGGCCCTCGAGTCAAAAAGTTTGCCCACCCCTGTACTAGATGCTAGTAGCAACCTCCCCACCATACCCAGCTGTGACAACCAAAAATGTGTCCACATAATTCCATTTAACTCATAATGTATATATATCAGAGATCTACTAAATTGGTACTACAGGGGTTCAAACATAAGCTAGGCTCTGTGTTTACCCTAGAGAATTTTTTAATCTATAATAATAAAAGCGTAATATGCTAATTAGACCAGACGTCCTTCCAGATGAAGCCAGGGTGCGAGGGAAGCCCGGATCACGGGTGCCAGAGGGAAGCCGGTGCAGGCAGCTGGGGGCAGGAAGGCCTACTCTTGCACGAATTTCGTGCATCAGGCCTCTAGTCAAGTATAATTATAGAGATGACTTGGTTTTTTCTCTGCTACCAGAATTTGGAAGGAAACTAATATAGTTGGCTCACTTTAAATTTTCACTCACATATATAGCACTTACTCTGTATAAATATTAAGTCATTTAGTCCTAACATGCCTATGGAGAAAGTGTTATTATTATCCCTACTTACTGATGAATTGGGGTGCAGAAAGGTTGAGTAATCTGTCCAGGTGGGAGCATGACAGAATGAAGATTTCACCTTATAGCTGTGAGCAAAAAGGTCACTTCCAGTTTCCTAGCAGACTTCTCTCCTGCTGGTCCAGCGCTCATTAGGAAATTGTACTGGCTCCAGCATTGCCGTTGTTTACCCAGGCACCGAAAGGGAAGGCTGAAATGTCCAATCATCATTCAGTCTTCCCACCTGATTGCGCAGATAAACATCGAGCCCAGGACATGGCAGGGAGAGTGGGTTTCAGGAGGCGGCTTTGAAACATTTTGCTTGTGCTGCTGATTGACGTGGGAACCGTGATCCTTGGCTGGCCGTGAACTGCTGTGGAGTGACTCTCATGCAGCTTTTGGGTTGCGTCTTCTCCCCCCACCCCCGCCCCACTGCCAGCCCACCTGGCTTTCATCGTCTAAATTTTAGCTAAACAACTGTAATGGTCAGATTTGCATAACGTAACAAAAATCTCTGTTTGCTGGGGGTTGGGCTTTCAGGTTCGAAATCTGTGCTACATGATAACCAGACGAGAGAAGCTGAAGCTGTCCTACAACAAAGCACAGGAACAGATCTTCGGTTTGCAAGTCCAGCTGCTTAACCAGGAAGCAGCAGAAGGTAACGTCTAAATCAAAGATATTTTAGAAAATGCACAGATTCTGGTTGCATTCCAGTTCAACAGTTTAAACTGTATGTCAATTGTTTCACTTAAAAAATATTTTAAAATTCTTGTCCAGTATCTCATTTGTTCTAGTCCAACCCTGATATAACATGGCCCATTTAGCTGTCACCTCATGACAAAAAAATCCCAGGGTAGCGTTGAAGGAGTTGCATATCTAAGGCAGGTAATCTAGATCCCAGACAGATATTAGGAGCCATTAGATGGAGCCATGAAATTATCTTGTAATTATTGGATTTATTTAGAAATCAGGAGGACAATATCTAATCCTAGTTTCCAGAAAACATTTCATTCCAGTGTTAGACATCATAACAATAGTCTGTTACCAGTAAAACAAATCCTTAGCTAGAAGTTAGGAGATCTGGGTTTCTATCTCTTTATTTATTCGCTGATACAGGGGTAGGCAAAAGTAGGTTAATAATAAATAATACAATAATTAATAAATGTAAGGATAAATTCTGTTTTGCTTACTCACAACGGTAAACCTACTTTTGCCAACCCCTGTAGTTGTTGAGCACCTACTATGGACTAAGAACTGAGCTAGAAGATAATCAGTGAGACAGAATCCCTGCCTGCGGGGTACGCTGCCCATTAACGAGAGAGATTGGTGAACATAATGACAGTGCCCTAGACCTGGGAGCTTGGCTGGAATGATGAGTCATGCTCAGTGACATGTGTAGCCTCCCTGACCTCATTTAACACAGAAGTTGGTGGCAGAGCTTGGGCAAGCAGGGGTCACTGAGCAGAGTGTGCAGAATCCAGCTCCTGCCGAGGGCCAGCCGTAGAGCAAGAGAGACACCCAGAAACGAGGTGTCAGGCATCAAGGGCTCAGGGGTATTTTTTAGTATCATGGGTCACAACAGAATGGTGTAGCAGGAAGCAGCAGGGCTGCTTGGCCACCAGAGCACCATGACAGACAAGACAAGAAGAACCAAAAGACAGCAGGGAGGAGCCCCTGCATACTACATGCTATTGGTCCCTAGACCATGTGGCTTCTGATTGGTGGGAGCCAGCGCCATAACTGCTTGTGGCATCAGCAGGTGGCAGCCCCTGGTAGAGAAGGGGGCTGTGAGTGTTGAACATGGACCCTTAGGGGACAAATTCTATCCATTGGGGCACCTCATAGCTGCCCTCTCTATCTGACATTTTTGTGAGGCCACATTAAGATGGTAATAGGCAAAGGTCAAGTCCCTATGCAAGGAGAATTGTCTGGTAGTACTCTTTCCATTTCAGAGCACTCAAAATCAGAGCGAGAGGAACACCTGTCCTAAATATGACTGTACATTGCATAACCAGGTGACTGATTGCCAGCTCTCCCCAGACTAAGCTGATTGCAGGCCACTGGCAGGGATGTCATGATTCTTTCCTGCCAGGACATAAAATACATAGGACCCACCCATTACCATTTCTATTGATGCCACGTTAAAACCTACACTCGGGTATTCTTCACCCACGAAAGCCTGTGCTATGTTCCCAAGGGTTTATATTTGACCTGCTCCAAAACGGCCAGGAGAGATTGGCGGATGAGATCTGAAATGTTTATGTTTAAGGCACATGCTAAGTTCTGTGCAGTACCCACACACAGGCACACACATACAGATCGACAAATAGGGAGACCCTGTTTGTGTGTCATTGCTAGTGACATTCTTTTCAGAAATGGAGAGGGCACAGATGGGATGTAGGAGGCAGCACCCTAGTCCTTGTGATCATTTACGTCGTTATTTGAATCAGTTGTTAAAATGAATCTTTCTTTTTGATCTCAGGACCTCCTTTGACAAGTGCACTAGAAAACTCATTGTTTTACCCACCACCGAGAATTACCTTAAAGTTAAAAATGCCCAGATCAGCCCCGGAAGACTGCCGAAACAGCTCCGCAGAGACTGATCATGGACCCCTCTCTCCTGGCAGCAACTCCCCTGTTCACAGTATGGGGAGCGCACAAGTGCCTCAGGAATCATTAGAAATGAGAGCGAAATCCCACCCGAGGCATCCATTAGAGAGCAACAATCACTGTTTCCTGACCAGTCTGGGCCTTTCTAGGAGTGAATCAAAGGATCCCAGTCCGGCTTGGACGACTCCATCTCCGGAGTCCTATCAAGGGCAGTCACTGGGGAAACCCCTGGTCCTCCAAGCTGCCCTGCATGGACAGTCCTTAATTGGAAATGGGAAAAAACGTTCTCGCTCCAAGTTTGCCAAATCCAATGGCCTGGAGGGCAGCTGGTCTGGGGATAGCACCCCAAAAGACAGCTCGAGTGAAATGTCATGTGGCCAGGATTCCATGCTCAGCTCCCACCTGGCCAGTCAGGGCAGCTTTAGAAAACCTACCGTGGAACACTCCAGCCGGTCCTTTAAGGAGTCCACCAACAGGTGGATGAGGACCACAGGCGGCCTCCAGTGCTATGGGAAGCCAACCAAGAATGTTAACCCCAGGGAGCAGCTCTGGGGCAAGCAGCTTGCCAGGCGTTCTGCAGGGAAAGCTCCCTATCAGGAAAACGATGGGTATTGCCCAGATTTGGAGCTGAGTGATTCAGAAGCAGAAAGTGATGGGAATAAAGAGAAAGTCAGGGTAAAGAGAGAGGGCTCAAGCAGGGAGAAGCCTCCCCGCGCCTCTAGACGGGATTGCCGTGGTAAACGCAAGAAGACGCATCCCCTCTCCCACAGTTCAATGCAAAGGTGATTTCCAACTTCCAAGAACAACTCAACCTTTGCCTTTGCCTCGTGTGTTGTAGAAACCCCACACACCAAAAGGATTCTGGCACATGTTGGGGAGGCATTTTGGTGAAAAGAATAAAATGTTTCCACAGTTCATTGTTTCTGAACCAGTTTCAAGTCTAGTTTTCATAAGCACATTATGAGAATTGCAGATTGCCCCAAAGGTGGGTTTTGGTTTTTGGTTTTGGTTTGTTTTTTTTTTTTGGGGGGGGGGTTGGTTTTTGGTTTTGGTTTTTTGCCAGAGACCATTGAGAACAGCTGGGCCCAGAGTATTTATTCAGTAAATACTTGAAGGCGGCTTTCCAGTTACAGCAACATGTTGATGTGCATATGTGTTAAGAATTCTTGCGATGTTAAGTTTGCAAGAGACCACGATGATCAGACACTAAAACTACTTATCCTTTGAAGCTACAGCAGGTGGCTCCTAGAGCGCCTGTCTGTAGGAAGTTTCTAACAAGACTGGCATCTGAAAACCCTCAGGGAAAGACCAGGGACCAACATCTCAGATACTGTCAAACCCGCTGCCCTCTTCCTTTGCGCTGCACAAGGTGGAGTTCCTTCCAGGGGCCCTTACTATACCAGTTCAATACTACTAACGCTTCTACGTGTCCAGTGCCTGTCCCTAGACGTGCTTGTCGGGGACACACTTGTAACTATCTCACCCAGCTAACAAGCATAAAAAGCTAACTTGTGGATAGTGTTTACAAAAGTACTACTTCCAGGGAAAGCGCTCTGACTCTCTCAGTGTGAAAGATCCCGGAGCCTTTCCCAAAGTGAGACCATTTCTGGGGGGTTTGTACCAGGTCAGGGGTTTCGTGTTACTATTTTCAAGTGAATTTGACTTAAATGAGTTTGGCTGACAGTCTTTGTATACCTGCTTTAATGTTTATAAAAATTTTATTGAGGTATAATTAAAATATAATAAGATGCACAGAGGTTAAGTATTCTTACCTGCTTTAACTTTGAAACAGATTTTTATTGTCAAACAATTTGAAAGCATGTGTTTAACACATGGATATAATTTAGCTTTGTACCAACTTTGAATCCGAATCAGTTTTCTAAACAAAAAGGCCGGAGCCATTTTTCAGAAGTTCCTTATATATATCCTGTTCCCAGACTATCAGCCTCGATTAATTTCTGGGAGAAAGAGAATAATTACATTTGGGGGAGGGATGAGCATGTCTGCTTCCCATCTGAAGAAAGAGAAAACATTACAATTTTTTAAATGTGAAGCCAACTATAATTCTCTGCTCTCTTTTCTTCTTAGCCTTAACTTAATATTCTCTTTCTTCTAGTTTGGGGAAGTATAATGGGGATTTTCAGACAAAAGAGGCCGCTTTAGAGTTTCAACGGTCAAGGAGTCCAGCTGTAGAAGGTGCCAGTCAGTAAGGCAGGTCCCCTCAATGTGGGAAATTCCTCAGTTTCCTCTCCCCACCTTTGTTCTTGTAGCCTTGTTAATGGATTTCTTTGCTTTTGTTTTTGCCTCGTTTTCTGAAAACTTCTATATTTTGCCCAATCTTTGGTCATACCTTCAACATGTTTCTTTCATGCCTGTGTACATGTGTGAACATGCCCTAGCATGTATGGGAGGTGTCCTGTATTTTGTTTGAATGGAAAGAGCTATGAATTATCCAAAGGAGGAATAGAATTTCTCCTATTTATGCACTAGGTTTCTGCGCGTTTTTTCTTCAGTTCTCCTGGATAGATATTAATTTGACCCTTTCAGGGCAATGAAATGATAATGGAGCTATGTCATAAACTACTTCTGTTAGAGGCCAGTACAGCAGCCTATATCTCATCATGCCTTTTAATTATGAGAGAGTGGAAGGAAAAGCAAACATTGAAAAAGTGCTTCAGCCAAAATTCCATACATAATGCCATTGGGAGAGTATTAACTAAAATCATTTCAGGCAGGGAAATATAGTTGTAATATTTTTACAGGACTTTCCTAAACAAATGAAGGAGCCTTCAGTTTTATAAATTTCAATTGCCCCAAAATGTATTTGCTACATTTTGCTGTTGTTTGAAGTATTACCTCTTAACCTTCTTTGTTAATTTTTTTCATTTTGTCTTATATAGTTCAGCTTTCCAAGATAAACTCAGTCTTTTTTCAAATGTCACCTTTTTACCAATACTTTTTCATTAAATTATGAAAACTGCTAAATACTGTCAGTGTGGTAATTTTTTATGTTCATGTATGGGTTCTAGAAAATCTTACATATGTGCTTGTTATATTTAAATAATCTTATTCATTAAATAAAACAGATGGTGGGGGGAAAGGAAGGAGGAGGGATTTAATGTTTAGAAGTACAAATTCATGATTCATGTCAATACCAGGGACCAAAGAGAATTCTGGGGACTTGGACTCTACCAGAAATCATGGGTTCATTAGGCTGATAAGACAAAACCTTAGGATCATCGTTTAAAAATCACCAGGGAGTGGGTGGAGGTGGAAGAGGGCATAGAGTGGATAAATGGTGATGGAAAAAATAAAATAAAAAATTTTTAAATAAAATTAATAAAAATAAAAAGCACCAGGGAAATGGATCCTGTCTATAGTCACGAAGTTCAGCAGGCTTAGATCAGGCATCACTTGAATATACACCTTTACAATATTCATTCTATTTGGAGTCATGTGAGTATATTAATTTATAGGGGTTGTGTAGTATCATGGGGGGACTTCAAGGCCATTATAAACATTTTCATTATGTTTAAAAACTGTACTTGCTAAAGGTCATTTGATAAATCACTAATGATAACACAAAGATAGAGTGTTTCTCTCCCCCTTTCTCCCTCACTCCCTCCCCCTTCCATTCATAGATAGCTTTTGATTCAGTAAATCATTAGGTAAAATGTTGGACAACAAACCCTGTCATAGCCAACAAGAGCTTTGGGTTTATACTGATGTCTATTTTTCCAGTGGGAGGTTGGAGTGGTACTAAGAGGCGCATGAGTCAAGGAATGCAGGTGGCTTCTAGAAACTAAACAAGTCAAGAAAACTAATTCTCTAAAGTATCCAGAAGGAACCCAGCCCTGCCTGCACCATGATTTTACACTTCTGACTTCTAGGATTATAAGGGAATAAATTTGTGCTGTTTTAAACCACTAAATTTGTGGTAATTTGTTACAGCAGAAATAGGAAACTTATATATATAACTAGGCATAGAGCAAATTACCAATATTACAAATGAGAGAAATGACACGGCTACAGATTCTACAAATATTAAAAATATATGGGAGCCCTAGTCAGTTTGGCTCGGTGGATGGAGCTTCAGCCTGTGAACTGGGGGTCCCAGGTTCGATTCCAGTCCAAGGCGCATGCCCGGGTTGCGGACTCAATCCCCAGTAGGGGGCATGCAGTGGGGGGCATAATATATATTTTAAAAAGATATGGGAATAGGAATATGAACAACCTTATCCAAGTGAATTTGACAATAAAGATGAAATGGATAAATTTCTCAGAGACACAAAATATCAAAGCACATTCAAGAAGAAATAGCCCGGCCGGCGTGGCTCAGTGATTGAGTGTCGACCTATGAACCAGGAGGTCATGGTTCTGTTCCCGGTCAGGGCATATGCTTGGGTTTCGGGCTTGGTCCCCAGTGTAGGACATGCAGGAGGCAGCCGATCAATGATTCTCTATCATCATTGATGTTTCTATCTCTCTCCCTCTCCCTCTCTGAAATCAATAAAAATATTCTTTTAAAAAAGCATTTGACAAAATTCAATACTCATTCCTGATAACAATGCTCAGCAAACTTAGAACTTCCTGAACTCAATAAAGGACGTCTATGGAAAACCTGCAGCTAACATTATATGTAAGGGTGAAAGGCAATACTTTTCCCTTAAGATCAGGAATAAGGCAAGAATGTCTACACTCACTACTTCTCTTCGACGTTGTACTGGAATTTCTAGCCAGTCTTATAGGCAAGAAAAAGAAATGAAAGGCGCCGAAACTGGTTTGGCTCAGTGGATAGAGCGTCGGCCTACGGACTGAAAGGTCCCAGGTTCGATTCCGGTCAAGGGCATGTACCTGGGTTGCGGGCACATCCCCAGTAGGAGGTGTGCAGGAGGCAGCTGATCGATGTTTCTCTCTCATCGATGTTTCTAACTCTCTATCTCTCTCCCTTCCTCTCTGTAAAAAATCAATAAAATATATTTTAAAAAAAAAGAAATGAAAGGCATCCTGATTAGAAAAAAATAAAATTTATTATCAGATGACTTGGTTGTCAATGTAGAAAATCAAATGGAATCCTCAAGAAAAGCTACTTGAACTAATAAATGAGTCTAGCAAGGCTCAGGATAAAAGGTCAATTTACAAAAGTCTGTTGTATTTTTATACTGAAAAGTAGCAATCAAATTGAAATTTTAAAAATACCATTTATTATAGTACCAAAACATGTGAGATTCTTATGAGATATGTGAAAGATCTGTATCGTGACATCTTTAAAACTTTGCTGAGAGAAATAGAAGACCTAAATAAGTGGGGAAATATACCATGTCCATGGATCATAGACTCAGTATTATTAAGAAGTCAATTATCCCCAAATTGGTCTATAGATTCAATGCAATTCCAATCACACCAGATTTATGGAGGGTTTGGAGGGGAGGAGGTTGACTGGCAAACATTTTAAAATTCATGACCTAAGGTAGGCAAAGGACTTAAGGTGGGCAAACATGTTTAGAATGAGGAGAATGAATTCAAGACTTACTATAAAGCTACAATCAGTAATCAAAACTGTAGAATTGTTGTAATAATAGACATACAGAGCAATGGAACCGAATGAATTCAGTAGATTCACACATATATGGGCAACTGATTTTCAACAAAAGTGCACAGCAATTTAGTGAAGAGGGTTGTCTTCCAAAAACTGGTGGAACAATTGGATACCCATGTGTAAAAAGTAAACTTCAATTCATACCTTACATCATATATAAAATTAATTAAAAATGGATCAAAGCCCTAGCCAGCTTGGCTCAGTGGATAGAGCATTAGCCTGCGGACTGAAGGGTCCCAGGTTCGATTCCGGCCAGGGGCACATGCCTGGGTTGCGGGCTCGAACCCCAGTAGGGGGTGTGCAGGAGGCAGCTGAT